ACTGTAACCATAGTTCCCTGAGAAAGGGAACGAGACGATGCGTCACCCTGCCATACTTCCTGCTTCCCTGTGATCGGCTTGCTTCGACTTTTTGAAGCTAATGCCGCGTTTCACCGGGTGAGCCTTTATCCCTTCCTGGTCATGACGTGACCCGCCCGTGACGCTCATTCTTTCCATTGGACTAGTTGACATTGATGCTCAGACGCATGCACGCTGGGGGCGTTCCCAAAGCGTCAAGTGACGCATCGTCTCGTTCCCTTTCTCAGGGAACTATGGTTACAGTAGTAACCTGAGACGTTTTTTGCTAGTTTCAGCCCGACGCAGTTATCATTTTCACGTCCTGCTGTTGTTTAAACAGCAAATACATTTGCGCCCATCTGTGCGCCCATGGGCATGCAGTATGGAATGCCATTCCTGAATTAAATAAATAAATACATGAATAAATAAATATACGAAGAAATGGAAAAAAAAAACCCGCAAATAAATCACTATTTATACTTTTGTTTCCTTATTAATGTATAATTGTATTTTGTTCCACATTTATTTATTTTTTCATTTATTTATTTATACATTTATTTATTTCCACTTTTATTTATTTTCACATTTATTTATGCAGGCCTATATATGTATTTATGTCTACATTTATTTATTTCCACATTTATTTATATTTTTACATTTATATATTTCCACATTTATTTATACATGTATTCCTCTGTATGCTAATGAGGGGGGCGTGTTTTACCTCAGGAGTGGCAGTGCTGAAGCTTTGAGGCCACAGTGACACCTTGTGGTGTGACCAAACAATACGCAAGAGGTTTGTGGACGTGACTTTACACGTCACACAGGAAATTAATGACTCAAGCCCCGTTCACACTACACGCGGCCAAGCGACGCGATACCATTCATTTCAATGGGGAGCTGGCGATTTCCGGTGACACGCGCGACAGCGACCGTTGGCGACGGATGGGTGTGTCTGGTGACGCGTCAAAGTTGAGATCTGCTTAACTTTATGCAAATGAGAAGCGACTTTTGGGAGCGACAACCAATAGGAGCGGAGCGCGTATGATCCTTCTCCACATCATTGGATGTCATTCATAAAGGCAACCAGTAGTGGGAACTCCCACTAGCGACCTCATCGCCAGCCACTGGCGACATGCAGCGACAAAGTCGCTTGTAGTGTGAATGGGGCTTCAGAGATGGGCAATATGGCCAAAATCTTATATCACGGTTTAAGTCCTTTAAGAGAGCGTTAATTTACAGTAGTACATATTCCTATACATATTTTGTTGTAATGTCACAAGTAATAATCTCAGGGTTTACTGGGTTTTACATGATTATTTTTGTATTGGTGGTGGTACTAAAAAATAAACATTGTCACGTGTTTATCTTTCTTCTTCTCACCGATTCCTGATGGTTAGAGGACAGTTACTTGAGTCGTCCCCTGTCGTTTCAAAGAATAGTACAACGGCGAGCGCGTCAAGTATAAACGCCTCGACCGTTTGGAGAGGTAACGTTACGCGCGCTGCCTGTGGAGACTCGCGCTGCAGAGCCAGGCGAAAGTATAAACAAGGCTTCCGTCTCCTCACGGGTTCAGATATACTGAAATACGTCCACACCGCAGATATGTTGCTTCAGACAAGCACGTGCAGGTCACGGTTTCTGTTTGCGTCCTCACAACATTTTGGCCGTATTGTTTCGGTGATAAAAGTCTTTTGGCCGAAAACCGAAAATGCACTTTTGGGCCATTTTCGGCCGAAAATTTGCAGTGGCCGAATATTCGGTGCATCCTTAATTCAAACGTTTGGCGGACCTGACATACTCAAGATTTCTGTGATCTGTAAGGACGGTAAAAGGTTGACGTGCACCCTCCAACCAGTGCCTCCACTCCTCCAAGGCCGCTTTCACGGCCAGAAGCTCCCGATCGCCCACATCATAATTGCGTTCAGCTGAGTTTAGCTTGCGGGAGTAAAAGGCACAGGGAAACATTTTCGCGGGATTACCGTGGCGTTGTGACAGAATCGCACCCACTCCAGTGTTTGAGGCGTCAACCTCCACAATGAACTCCTTCTCCGGGTCAGGATGATGGAGAATGGGTGCGGCAGTGAATCTCTCTTTCAGCTGAGTAAACGCAGAAGTGCACTCAGAAGACCACCGGAAGCGCTCCCCCCCCCCCTGGAGAAGAGCCACGATGAGACTGAATAAACAAATAAACCTACGATAAAAGTTGGCAAAGCCCAGGGATCGCTGTAATTCTTTCACAGAAGAAGGTTGACGCCAGTCCACTACGGCTTTGACCTTGCTGTCATCGATGAAAACCCCCTCAGTGCTGATGACATATCCCAGGAAGGCGATCCGGGTCTGATGAAACTCGCACTTCTGAGTCTTGGCGTATAACTGATTCTCAATCAAGCGTTTGAGAACTGCACGCACATCCCGGACGTGTGCATCGAGGGTCTCTGAAAAAATCAAGAGGTCATCAATATAACAATAACCCTCTTATTTAGCATGTCACGAAAGACCTCATTAACGAAAGACTGGAACACAGAAGGACTACTGGACAGCCCGAACGGCATTACCTGATACTCATAGTGCCCCGTCGTCGTAGAAAAGGCAGTCTTCCACTCATCGCCCCTCCGTATGCGAATGAGGTTGTAAGCGTTCCTCAAATCCAGCTTGGTGAAGTAACGGGCTGAGCGAAGCATCTCCAGGGCTGCAGGGACTAAAGGCAGGGGATAACGATACTTCACAGTTACCTCATTGAGACAATGGAAATCGATGCAGGGCCGAAGACTCCCATCCTTCTTTTTAACAAAGAAAAACCCAGCGGACACGGGGGATGTGGAAGTGGTGATGAAACCCTTAGCAAGCTGTTCCGGATACACACGGCCGTGCGGGGGAACGGCTCCGGGTAGAAGTTCAATAGCGCAGTCACTGGCCCGTTGCGGGGGTAGAAGTGAAGCCTCTCTCTCGCTGAATGCCAGGGCAAGATCATGATATACCGCGGGAATTCCTTGCAGGTTCAATTCCTTGGAGGAACTGAGGCTCGATTCAGGACCATGGAGAGCGGGCAAACAGTGGACCTGACAGAAAGGAGACCATTGAGTGATTCTCCTCTCGGCCCAGGAAATTAGAGGGTTGTGTCTCTCCAGCCATGGTAATCCCAAAATTACTGGATGAAGGGGTGAGCTGATCGTGTACAGCTGAATTCTCTCCGTGTGGCGAGACCCGAAGTTGAGAGTGAGAGGCTGCATGATGTACTGTACCTCCCCTGTCCCCAGGGGGCGTCCATCCAGGGCTGCCACTGCCACACGGGACTCACAAGGGATGAGAGAGAGATGATTAGACAGGGCAAACTCCAAATCGACAAAATTACCAGCGGCTCCAGAGTCAATTAAAGCCCTTGTTTCGCAAATATTTCCATTAAAATTAAATGAAACTTCGAGAGTGAGAGAGTTGGGGGAACTAATCAAAGGAACTCACCGCAGAAGTGTCTCTGGATCTGGAACTCACAGGACACGAAGCTCTCTGATGACCAGCTTGAGCACAGTACAGGCATAATTTATTCTGCATCCTTCTCTCACGTTCCTCCGTAGTGAGACGTGTGAAGCCGCCTTGCATGGGCTTGGGTTCCGTGCAGGAAGAAGGATGAGCGAAGAGACCGGGCTTGAAAGGTGTGCGTCCGTAGCGGATGAGATTGTCAAGGCTGATGGCGAGCTCCATAAGATCTCCGAGGGACCTCCCATCGTCACGACAAGCCAATTCCCCTCGTAAATCCGTGTTCAGACCCCTTCGATACAGCAACTTAAGTGGTTCCTCCGTCCATCCCGTCTGTGCAGCCAGGGTGCGGAAGGAAAGCGTGTAGTCAGCAGCGGTAGAACTCCCTTGATTTAATGCAAGGAGCAGTTCACCTGGATCCTTTCCGCCCGCGGGATGTTCAAACACCTCTCTGAATTGAGACATAAACACGTTATAAGAGGGAAATGTATGCTGACCTCCAGACCAGAGAGCAGTTGCCCATTCCAACGCCCTCCCGGTGAGTAATGAGCAGATGAATGAAACGCGGGACGCATCATTGGGATGAGGCTGGGGTTGCTGGCTGATGAATAAGTCGCACTGCAACAGAAATCCTCTACAGGCTGCGGGTGAGCCATTAAACTTCTCAGGTAAGGATAATTTGGGATTGCTTGAAGCCGTACTCACGCTTGAAGTGACGGGCTCAGGTGTAGCGGGAGCTGGAGCTTGATTAGCGACCGCGTTATGCTGAGTGAGGGTTTGAACGGACCTCTCAAGTTCCTCAGTGAGATTTGTTAGCTTGACCAGCTGCTGTTGGTGTGTGATTAACACAGATGCCTGGGAATTAACCTCGGAAGCAAGACGCTGGAAGTCTGCTGGAAGTCTGCTGGATCCTGTGTTGGTAAAGTCTCCTGTAATGACGGGGCTGAGGCAGTCGGATCCATCTGCAGTACTTTATTGAAGCAGGTAATGAAACAAGGAATCACTGACATGAAACACAAAGAGAACACGTAGAAACATGCAGTGTGGCAAAACAAGACTTCACAAAGGAACAAAGAACTGAGCAGTCCAGATAAAGGGTGGGTAATGATTAACAGGTGGATGTGATAATACTGAATGGAGAAACCAGGCAGGGATGGAATCTAATGATAGCAGAGGGGGATGATGGGAATTGCAGTTCTAGAATGCAGGTGACAAGGAGCGGGTGAGACCGGAGAGAGGTGAAGGCGGGCGCACAGTGACAGCCGCGCGCTCCGTGACAATAGGCTATATATATATATATATATATATAGTGGCCACAATTATAATAATGTGTTTTAGTTGCCCCCCAGACTGCTTATTCAGCCTTTTTTTAATACAGAAAAATAATAATGTTTGTTTTAATGTTAAAAGAATCTGTGAATGTTTTCAAGCCAAACTATTCTGCCAATTAAGTATTTATATAAATAATAAATAGATAATCAACGGTGTTGTACTATTAAATCATGCTGAAATTCAGTCATCACATTTGATTTCTAATCACAGGGAATCAAGTTACTTCCTCAAAGTGGACTAAAGTTCCTCTGATCATCCTTGGTGTCTTTCTGGTTTTGGCTCTTGGAGGTCTGTGTGTTCTGGGGATCATGTGTGAGTATAATTCTTGCTCTATTTGAGCTTTGTTTGCTCTGATCATAACAGCCACATTTAAGGCAGTTATACACTTATACAAGAGTTATGGTACAGCTTACTGACTGATTTCCTGTGGGTTGCAATTGTTAACACTTTACAGATATAAAGCTGCTAAAAAAAATACCCTGAGGCACCAGCGGACTTTCATGGAATGCACTAAAACAACCTAATTGGTTGCTTTGTTTATTAATGTCGTCTGTTTCAGACCAAGCCCTGAAAAGTGAATCCAAAATGTCTCGATCGCCCCCCGGTGGCCGGTCCTAGTATAGGTCATAAACCCCGCCTCCCCATGTTATTCAACAGCACGTGAGACCAAATAAACAATTAAATTACACTTCAAATATTGTTTTTCCAAAGATAAACTGTAATTTATTGTAGTTTTTATCACGCTGATGTGATTTCAAGTGTTTGTTTTTAAAATAAGTTTGTTTTTAGTTAGTTATTTGATGCGGTGGTGTGACGTCATGATTGACAGCTGTGATTGACAGGTTCTCTGAGCGAAGTACTCACTGAAGCACCAACAGACTTTTTTTCGGGATCTTCGGAGGACTGAGGAGATTGGAGCTTTAAATGTATTATCTAAATTTCTATAATTAATTTTAAAAAAGTGCAGGAGCGTGTGTTTGCGATTGATTCTGCGAGAGTGAGGGCGGGGCCTTGATTTCGCGGCTTTACTTCCTGTTCACTACTGCGCATGTCTGGTCCCGAGATCGCTACTGGGCAGACTCAAGTTTCAAGATGTCAGCGCCATATCAGGACACTGGCGGCTTCAGTTCTGACCAATTGAAGAGAGCGAAGGGGCGTCGTCCATCTTTTTTTACAGTCTATGTTTTAGACTCTGAGAGAGAGCTCTTAGATAAGTACCAGAGAGTTAAAAACTGGGACTGTCACAATCGTTTAAATTCACATTAAATTAAATACCAGAAATGGTGCATTCCAGGGACTATAATCCATGAACCGCATAGATTGTTTTCTAAGGCTGCAAAATACTGTATATTAAAACAATCATAATATAGCATATCCTAGTGCTATCATTTATAAACAAACACTAACACATGAGAAAACATCAGTATATATTTATCTGTATTTATTCTAAATATGCACACTGTTGTTAATCGCGATTTCAAAAAAAGGTTTAAACCATCACTCTGAGTTTGCATATTTTGATGTCCACTACATGTTCTTGTTCAAGAAATTACAGTGACTGTAGCATTTCTATCATAAAGAAGTCGTCAAATAGTAAAGATGAACTTGAATTAAATATTGTTTGGCCAATAAGAAACAAGTATTTGGTCTTGCTATAAAGTGTAACAACAATTGGCGCCCTCTGCAGCGATTTGTTATAGGCTAATACATGGTTCAACAACACCATCCCTGCGTTTCAATGTCCATACTATCCATCCTAAACAGTATGTGAGATTAGAATAAGTGTGTCCCAAAGCATAGTATGTTGAAAAGAGTATGCCAGAAGTCCCTGGATGGGGTACTATTTCTGAACTAGATTTTCGAAGTGTGGATCTGTGCATACTCTAAAGCAGCAGACCTGGGCATTGTATGGTCCCTGGGCCACATCAGGCCCTCTGGCTATCCTTGTCCGACCCGTGTGAGGTCATTTATTATATTAAAGCTGGAGTCCGCAACTTTTTTTTATGTGTGCAAAATTTACAAAAATTATATATTGAGCGAGTACATCATGAATCAATTTTCCAACCGTGTTTTTGTCTTATCCTGAATCACTATGGTACCCCTATAATCAGTGTTTATATTCTGACTATTTTAGGCCGACCGGGTTAACCGCTGCAGAGTACAGTACCACACGGTACCACAGTACCTGCGTGACTCGTCATAGACATAAGAGAGAAGTAGCTCCAGCTGCATGTTCTTCAGCAAGACGCATGCAGTAGGGGTTATGCGCATAGACAGTAAAAGAAATGGACACAGAGACCCTAACTTCAACAAGGAGTTGAAAATTAGCATTAGCTACAAACTCTATATGCTGCGCATCAGTTACAGGCTTTGTATTGTAACTATGTTTGACTGTATGGTCCCTGTTAAATAAATAAATAAACGGAGAAAAGTGAAGTCAATTAGAAGCACTCACTTCCTGATTGCCAAGCGCACTGTGCAGGCTCACACTGAGCTTGACGACGTAGATGTGACGTGAGCAACCTGTCTCACAGCTGTACGTTTTAGTAGCTGTGCCAAGCGGAATCTGAAACATTCCCTTCCGAATCTTGCAGAGCCGGAGAGCGTGAGTATTAGCTGTCCACGAGCTAGCAGCAGGAGCAACTTTACAACTCTCTGTGGGGGCTTCTCCCTTGACTTTATGCCTCCACGTCCCCCCGATTGCGTGCGAGCTTTCTACTTCTGTCTATACGGTAATTTCTCTACTGTGCGACAGAGAGTCGCGTGTTATGACGCAATTGTTAGCCTATTTTTTACAAAAACTGCTTCTACGGGGCCATAAGGTAAGATACAAGGTGATGGAGCTTTTTATACATTGTCCTGTTTTTTTTTTAAATAAACAATGGACAAATGGAGTCTTTAAACACCTCAGATGTAAAGTTATTCGCTGTCAAAGTGACGCGAAAATGAATGGGAGTCAATGGAATGCTAACAGCAGGTGAAGGCTTGCTAGCCAATGGCGGCCCCCGGGGAGACTTCAGTTTCCGGCTGGTGGATTACCTCCTTGGTTATGCGGAGCGCCCAACGTTCGACAGGTCTAAGCATTTCCGGTTTGCAGTGGTTAGGTGATCTCTGAGGTAATTTAAAGGATTAGTTCACCTCAAAATGAAAATTTACTTTTAATTTACTCACCCCAATGCCATCCAAGATGTTGTTGTCTTTCTTTCTTCAGTGGAAAACTCCACACAATGGACTTCAAGCAACATGTTGAAGTCCAAATCAATGCAGTTTAAAAGGGTTTTGAAATGCTTCAAGGGCTGTGCACGTTCCCAGCTGAGGAATAGGGTCTTATCTAGCGAAACGATTGTTCATATTCTAAAAAGAATAAACATTTATACTTTTTGTAACCACAATTGTTCGTCTTGTGCTGGTCTGCGACGCGTCAGGCATTACGTCATCACGTTGGAAATTCAAAATTAATGCATTACAACCCAACAACCCATTCTATTTTAGTCGACTAAATCTACTGTAGATTTAGTCAACTAAAATCTTATTGTATTTCAGATGACTAAAATATGACTAAAACTAAATGGCATTTTAGTCAAAAGACTATGACTAAAACTAAATCAAAATTAGCTGTCAACTGTTTTGTGACAGGCGTAAATAAAATACTAATCCAGTCATATTTTTGTCACTGAAGATTTCTGAAATATAGTGTACCTTTAATGTTGTCTCTTCTCGTTTTCGTGAACCCAATATCGTGTATCATCTCATCTCGTGAGCAAAGTGTATCGTCACACCCCTAGCACTCATTGTTTCTCACTGGCTCTTAAAGGGCCTAAATGTAAGCATTTTCATGTTTTTAATCTTTTTTTTTTATTGCTAACATATCCACATTGCTATAATCAGATACTTTCTTAACTGCTGCTTCTCATCACTGATTATTGAGAGGATATCGTGCAGTTGCTGCTGCTGCAGTTTACTTAACAGCCTACAGTGTCGCTAAAAACAGGGCTTTCTGAACTCAAAATAAAAATAAATAAATAAAATACCTCTGCAATTGTTTTTCTCTAATCAGATGTCGGTGTTTCAAAGCAACTGTCTGCCCTGGAGACCAACAGCACAAGTGAGTAAAATATATTTAATGCACCCAGTAGGCCTACAACATTTAATTAACCGTTTGTAAAGATAAATTACTACATGATTTTTTTCAGTTTTTTTTATTATTTTTATTTTATGTTATTCATAACTCTCTGTATCAGTCATGGTGAAAGAGCTCACAGACAACTACACCAGAGTTAGAGAGCAACTGTTCTTTTACAAAGGTGAGCTATTTCTCTGCTAGACACATGACACAGGCTTAGACAAAGTGTTTGAATATTTCTGCACATTAAACCAAGCTTTGATTAACTTCAAGATTTTTATGAGCTGAAGAATGTATCATTATCATATGTTTTTGTTTTTATTATTATTTCAGCATTCACAGCTCAGTTGAATGATTGGGGTGGAAAGTTGTACTACTTCAGCTCTGATCAACTCACCTGGTCAAGCAGTCGTGCTTTCTGTGTTTCAAAAGGAGCCGATCTGGTGACCATAACCAGCCAATCAGAACAGGTAAGACAACTATACTGCACAATGTGATTTTGCACCAAATAAACAGGTATAATATACAAAAATGTTTTATTACAAAATCACATCTCACCACTGAATTTTTTGTTTTATATAATTGTGAATTATGTGCCTTTTCTCTATTAGATGTTTCTGTACTCTGAACTTAAAGACCATTACTGGATTGGTCTCAATGATCTGGACACTGAAGGAGACTGGGTTTGGGTGAATAGCCAAACTCTCAATGACACTGGAGTACAGTAAGAACTCTGTCTGCAATTGTTTGTTAATCAATGCAACACACTGTTCTACTACAGGAAAGAACATTAAAATATTTGCAATAATAGTATATTTTACAACAGCGGTTCTCAAATTGAGGTCTCTGACCAATAGCCAGGGGGTCCGCGAAATAATTTGCTATACCGTAGTTTCAGTATTATTATAATTTACTTCTTTTTTTTTTTATCAATATATTTATTGTTTTTCCAGTTACAGTGTACAGAAGTGGTTCACTATAAAAGTTAATCTTTTCTAACAACCTTTTATAATTCAGGATTAGTAGGATATATTACATCAACAGCATATAATGATACACATTCTTACCCTCCTATTTTTAGACCGAAAATTGACTCATGTGTCCGTATTGCAATGGCCAGGGGTTTCACTGCCGATGCAAAAAGTAGCAGAGACCAGGGACACCCCTGCCTGGTTTCTCTTAATAAAGTAAATTGTGAAGACAAATCGGAATTAGTTTGGAGAGCTGCAGATTAATTTTTATATAACATAATATGAATCATGTCAAGAAATGTTTGACCGAAATTCATTTTTCGCAGAACAACAAGTAAAGCCATTCTACTCATAGCTTTTCTGCATCTAGAGAAAGTGCAATCACCGGGGAGTCTACTTGTTTTGCAAAGAATATGATATTCATAAGCGTTGGTATGTTGTCAGGGAACGGAGACGTAACATCCAGCCGCCACTATTGCTGTACCCGCTGGGCGGCCAAGTCACAGGCTTGGCTCCTCAACAAAAAGCAAATGTGCATTGCATCCGCTTCCTTATTTATACCCGCGCTGTGGCGTGAGAGTTAAATCTCTCACGCCAATTTAGTTTAGTTTACACTCGAAGGTGATTGGGCTCTCAGGCGAGATAAAAACGTCTGTGACGCCGACGTTACGTCAAACATGACCGACTGAAAGGGAACAAAATTGTATCATTAATGCTCAACCAGAAACTCACCCATGTGCTGCCTTTGGGTGATCACCCTAATAGAGTCCATTATAAGTCATCTTTGGTTATGTTATCTGCTGGTATCTTAACACACAACCAGAGGAGGATGCTGTCGAAGATAAGTCTCTGCTGAGGCTTTGGAACTAAAAAGATCTTTGTCTCTCTGGTCTTTTGTGCACTGAATTCTTGCATTTTCTGAACAAAATTGATGACATGTCACGGAATATCATTATGGTGGAGTTGCTATGGGTGAGCTGGCCCTTTTCTCTAGCCGTGTTGAGGATTGTGACTGTGTTCCCATACCGGAGTAGACGAACTCAGATAGCCTGCGGTCTGCCATTTTCTGCCGGTCGCCGCTACAGGGTACAATGAGCTCTTTCAATTTCGTAGACATCACCATCCTTCCCCAGGATTTTAGGCAGCCATTCCTTTAGAACATAGGTTCTCAAAGTGCGGCCCGCGGGCCAATGGCGGCCCGCCGAAACATTTCTGGCGGCCCGCGAGAACATCTGATAACATCTGTAAAACTGTTAAAACTATTGCTTTGAAAAAATGAATATCTCCGTTTAGTGGTGTTTAGCGACATCTATAGGCATAAGCGGTAATTACATGGTCCGACCGACCGATCATACTTGACCTCACTCCCAAGGCCACCAGGAACAATGGTTGTCTACACAGGAATAGGAATCGTGGCCAACCGAAACCAGCACCACAAATCCCATTGCAATTTAAAAGGGTATGTTAACCAAGTAATCAATATTCAATGTGACTTAATAATAATCTTAACAATGTCAAGCTTATTAATAGCCGCGTTTCCATTACCTTTCAAATTTTTCGCGGGCGCGAACACTTGCATTTTCCTATCAACAGTGGAAACAACTTAAACTAGTCTATCATTTCTGGTCATACAGAAAATAATAATGCATTATTCGCAACTACTTTTATTTGTGTAAACTCATAACAAGAAAACGTGCTTTTGTAAAATAAAATAAAACAATCAGTAGGCCTAGGCTACGCGCTTTCATGATCTCCGTAAACTGGAGCGCGAGAACTGAAACAAAATATAGCCTATGTAGGCTAAAGCTTAAAATGTGCACTTTCAAACAAACAAACTCGAATCGAAAGCAAATACCTGATTATGTAATCCGTATGAAAGGTGGATTTCTCTCTAAAAGCGCATCTGCTTAACAGCGGAGATGGAGATATGTTTTTAGCCGACACTTAACAATAGTTTATTAATAAACAATTAAAATGCCTCGCTGTTTTTTCAGACGCATTTATTATCATTAGCCTATAACTCACCTATAAATCAGGCTAGATCAGACACAGGCTATATGGCTCTTCTCATTCATCACTGCGGGAAAAATATAAATTCCAGGTTCTAATTTGGCCTTAGAAAACCAGTATTCCATATTAATTTGTGAATATTTAAAATGTTTAATAAAGGGGCAAAAAGTCACTTAAACAAAAATCTGAAAAAGTCTGTCGATATTTACTTTTTTTGCGCAGCAGTTGGTGAAGCCAGTTCAAATTAAAATTGTGTTCAACTTTGCGTTTTAAAAAGACAACAACCGTTCATTTTTCGTTTTTCAGTTACGGGTTAAAAAAGATACATAATAATATGCAAATCTGCAATAATGGAAACGCGACTAAAAAGCAATGATAGAAATGAATGATGATGATGACTTGTTTGGTAAGCTTCTATTTTAAAAGTTTCTTTCTCTCCCCACCCAAGATTTTCACAAGTTTTGCCAGGTTTAGCCTCAGTTATGAATTAAAATGTGTTTATTGCAACTAATGTAAACTGTAGAGATGCAACCTGGTCATTAAAATAATTTCAAATGGGATTTTCTTTTCAGTTTTTTTTTCTTTTTCGTTTTCTCCCCCGCCCCTTTGGCGGCCCTCAGTTCAATGTTGGGTTCCTAAATTGGCCCTCACCTATCAAAACTTTGAGAACCCCTGCTTTAGAAAGTCCACTGGGTTTCTACATTCCACTCCCTCTGGAAATCTGACAAGATGTAAATTCTGGTGGCAGGAATTATTTTCCAGCTCATCAATTTTGTATTTCAGTTGTTTCATCTCATCATCATTAGCTTTACATCCATGACATCTTTATGAAGGCTCGTTACTGCTTCTTCAATCTCCGTCTGTTTTGATTTCGCCTCCACCATTTTCAGTTTCATTAATTGCTTTTCTTTTTTAATTTTCTCTATGGATTCTGCCATTCAGATGTCCATTCACGAGTTCCTTTGCCCATATAATCTTTAAGCTAATAAGGTTTAGCGTATTTGGCTTGCTGTCCGCAATGGAGGGGCTTGAGGAAGCAACTTCAACTCGAGCTTAGATAAACCCCCCAGTGGGACTACTAATGCTTGGATGATGAGTATGGTAGCAAGATGCCTAAATTATGCAGGTGGAGTTGGGGAGGTGGAGGGACGCCAAAACAGCTGATGCCAGAGCAAGGTGAGCGGCTGCTTATATGCTCCGGCAGTTAATTGAAAGAATAGATGGGTTCACTCCTCCCGAATTTACATTGTGAACTTCACTAAATTAACTCCTAGATTCTCATGAAACCATTCTCCATTTCTGCGTGAAACCATTTTCTGTTTATGACCGGCATGATCATCAGATTGTTCGACATTCAGTTTATTTATTATATTAAAGGAGGTACTTTTGTCGTATTAAATACGTATTAAATAATTCCGACTTATATTCTAAAGTAGTGGTTCTCAACCTTTTTTTCCACTGGGCCGCACTATGGTCCAAGTGCAAGTCTCATGGGCCACATATCATTTACAGTACATATGACATCACCAATGCAAATCAATCAGATTTAACGTTATGGTATTAGCAAAAAATATTATTATTATACCTAGATGTTGAACACACAGAAGAGGCATTGTTTTCTGGTGACAAAATGCAAAATCAACAAACACAACAAGAAATTAATTTTTGTTTCACAGTGTGTTGAAATCAAAGTGAAACTCTCAATAACATGAGTTCAATAAACTCATGTTACACAATACCTGGATGTACAGTATGTCACAGAAAATGAGAACAATGTATTCCACCAAATAAAAACAACACAATACAGTAATAAAAAAAAATTCTTAATGAACATACACAAACTGTATACAAGCACTTTAAGTAGCAATTTAAAGCTGTATGACTGTATACTTCATCATCGTAATACTCACCAAACAATAACAGAATGATATAGCACACAAAAGCCTTGAAAGGGTTAGTTCACCCAAAAATGAAAATTCTGTCAGTAATTACTCACCCTCATGTTGTTCCAACCCCGTAAGACTTTCGTTCATCTTCGGAACACAAATTAAGATATTTTTGATTAAATCTGAGAGCTTGATCACTCCTCCATAGGCTTCTTAAGGGATTGAAACTTGCCCTGAAAGTCAGTGAAGAAAATGTTTAAATAGTCCATGTGACTACAGTGACTCAAACATAAGTAAATAAAGTGACGAGAATACTTTTTGTGCGAAAAAACAACAAAAATAACGACTTTATTCAACTATTCGTTTTTTTCAGTGTGGGCCTCTGACGAGAGTTCACGAGTGCGCTACGACGCATACATCCCCCCCAATGTATGCGACCGCTCTCCTGGGTAGCACTGGCATGCTCAGGGACAGGCTTGAGAGCGACCTCCATGGCGTGCTCAGGAACAAACTCGGTTTCGCCCTAGCCGCGGCCTCAGGGACAGCCTCCTCCGCTGCGGCCCCCGGCGTGGCGGGCATGACGTGAAGAATCTCAGAAAAAATTGTCTCAGCGGGAAGAGATTCTGGACTGGCAACTATGATGGGGTGGACCCAATGATGCTCTGGCCTGACTGTGCTGGCGTGTGGTGTGAGTTTTGGAGTTGCCAACATCCTGATGGGCATGACATGAACTGGGACACGTTTCGGGAATATTGTGAGCTTGCGAGGTTCCTCTTGTGCAAAGCCCACAGTAAATGGTGAACCACTCAATAAAAGGGCAAAGCCAATATATTGCGCTAGCGTGTATTGTGGGGTATTATCAGGCATGAGGAAATAAAGAAACCTATTA